TCGATCCCCGCAGACGCAATAGCCTGGATCTTAATACCATGAGTAGACATTTGCATGAGGGTTATTGGGAACTTTTAATACAGGCGGCTCCCCAACAGCCGTTCGGATGGTTTCTTCGAGTTATCTTCTAGCACTTTAGTTTAAGAACCAAATCACGAGGCAGCGGTGGCAAGCAACCCCATTTGATGGCGGTCCACGCTCGTCAGGTCACAGTTCCGTCATTGGGGCTTACGATATTCTATAAGGTAGTCGATGCGCCAGACCTCAGTCCTTTGCGCCCTGGCAGCACGGTCGCTGCCGGTTCGCGACTAGTTATTCGCCAGACTCAGTTAACCTTTGATGAAGGCCGTTCTATTATCCGCCACCTGTGGACGTTCCAGGTAGCCAACAGCTAGGCTAACGCTGCGCTGCTGGCGTATAGGAAGTTAACACCCTCGACAGTTGGCGCAACTTGAAGATAATGTGGAGGTGAATGATAGTAATTGAGATAAACCTCCAGTGGACGAACTATTAAAAAGCTGCCAAAAGTAGTTTCTCCACGTGTTCAGGATGAATAGTGGGATAGTACGTAGTGTCGGCAACTTTACAAGCGATTGACAGAATGAGGGTTGGTACTGATACTACGAGACCAATTGAACAATTTTTCACATTTGATGGATGTGGATAAAAATAAATAAAAATAAAATGCTGAAACATAACTTTTGCGTTCAATTGAGAACGCAAGCGAAAGATTCAGGAATGGATGTGGAGCAATGGTCACATAAAATAGCCTCCGTTAGTATTCGTGAATGATGGAGGTTAAGAATTCTACGATAAAAAAAAACAATCGCAGCTCAAATCCAGTCGTTAAATGTTACAAAGACCCCTGAAAAGTCGTGCTTGAGGGCGATACTTGTAAGGTAACATATTTTTCCCAAATGCGAAAGACCTAGTTATAATAAAAGAATACACTGTTTTCACGGGCAGTCGCATGACACGGGAAAAGAAAAGAAATAAGTAAAAAAAAGTAAATATGAGATGTAGAGACGAGGTTGCAAATTAAAAAAACGCATCTCCCACGTACCACTTTTTGAAGATAAAGTATCCACAGCTAACGGGAACTTCGTCGGCCCCGTATCTTGAGACCTGGGCCGAGAGGAAGACCAACATGGTGCAGACGACTTCATATAGCAAGGCATAACTTTCATTGCTGGCAAAAAATATGAGCAAATGCAATAACCTACTTTGGTGTTACATCTATTATTAAACGAAACAACAGATGGACAAAGTACTCGGCTAAAGGGATCGAGTTAGAAGCTGACAATATTGATGCGTCAAGAATTACAACTGACGGCGGGCTCCGCGAAATGAAGCTCTATTCCATGATTAGTTGGATTTTCCACAATGAACTTGCTAAAAAGACGAATCACCAACAGGGCATTTCTAGCCATTTTGAAATCATTCACGTCACTAAATGGCAATTAAAAATTGAGCGTTATTACGCGACAACTCCCATCTTTGCACTGCCCAAAATGCCAGTTGCTTTCATAATAAATTGCTGCAAAAGGGCAGACAAATTGTGTGTCCGCAAATCATTCCTATAAAACCGCTGTAGGAAACTTGAAACAGCGGCCTCGAGGTAGAAAGATGCATCGCTGACAAATTAAAAAAAAGAAACAGCTTACTTAGTTAAGGGCGTAGGAAAGTCGAACGAGAGGAAATTAGTCCAATACTCATTATTTACTTGGATACTCTCTTGGCCCACTAATTTTATCAGGAAGGGGTTAGTTGAGAGATCAGCGAGATTGCTGACAGTTGCCCCCATCCGTCAACGCATTCACGCTACGGTTTTTGA